TCTTATGTGAACCAGTATTTTCTTGCTGCCGTATCGGACAAGCAAAAGAGAAGGCAGAAAGAAATGGGACTCGAGGCAGCTATAGGACGGCAGCCGTCACCCAGAGTCCTGACTTTCAGACTGCCGGTCACACAACACCTTCAGAGTTATCAACTAGCTGTAAAACAAGGGAAGGCTACATCCTGGGACTTAGTCATTAAAAACATTTTTATTTATATATTCAAGTTTTATATAAGATCAGATTGTTTGGAGGTTGAAAATCACTCAAATAAGGCCTCACAAGGGAAAGTGGGGAGCTCTGCCAGGAGCCTGCAGGGGTTTTCAGGAACCTCCACGTTTCATTCATTCCCAGTCATTCGACAAGTATTTCCCAGCCCCTGAACAATGTCTGGTGCTGTTCTAAGTGCTGGGAAAATAGCCGTGAATGAGAGAATCAAATTCCTGCCCCTATTCTAGAGAACTGGTAGAGTACAGTATTTATAGTATTCTCTTTTTAACTTCCTAAAATAACTGTGATCAGGGCACTGTGTCCTAAATTTCACATATGCCATGGAAAACCAGGAAAATTAATTTTCTGAACCAAAATATCCACAAATTAACTTCCTCATTCATAAAAGACTGTGTGACTTACAACATTACCGATGCAGGTGAAAGCTTCTCTTTCTGAGGTAAACACTCCCCGTAGCTTCCCCTGTTCCGGTGCTTCCCAGACTCCTCGGAGGCCTGGTTCCCATCTTCCTGCAGCTCTCTAATCTGTGCATGCCCAAGCAAAGCATCCAACGGTGCCGGGGGAAGGCTCCGCCACTGGATTAAGCACTGGTTGCCGGAGCCACGGGCAACAATATCCCAAGCCACATAAACCCAGAATAAAGACTGTTCTCCTTACCCTGCCCATCGCTATTGTCCAGGTTAGCTGCACGCTGACCAAATTCTGGAATCCGATGCTCTCCAAAGGGCCACAGGAGCACGGTAGAGCCCACATTAGTGCTACATACTCTGGGAAAAAGTTGGCCTCCAATTCTTCTCTGGAGTGCAGAATGCAGATCATTCAATTCAATCCACTCATCCAGCAAGAATAAAATTAGTACCTGTTAGATGTAAAACCAAACCTGGGTCCTCTTCTCAAGAAACTTACACTTAAATAGGGTCGTTTCCGAGCCTGCTGAGGTATCAGTCATAATGCTATGTAATAAAGACCAGAGGGGAAGGCCAAGGCCAGCCTGGGGGCCACCAGACGGCAAGATAGCACCGCGGTACCCAGCAAGGCCTCCGGGCCAGAATGCCTGCGTTCATAACCCAACACCTTGGTACATTCTTCGACCTTTCAGAGCATCCTTCTAAAATGCAGAAGATAAAACAGCGCTTCTTCGCAGTACTGTTGTGAGAATTAAATGAGTTCGTACTTGCAAACCAGTTAGCTCTGAGCCTGGCTTAAAACCCTGGTAGCCACAGTCCTAGGACACATCACAACGGGGGCCCAGCACTCCGGGCTCAGAACACTGGCCCCATTGTTTGCTGATTTCTGTCCACATGATCTCCCCAAAGAAACATTAAGAAACACATTAAACAGTGGGAGAGACAGTAAAAATATTTACAAATGATGCCAAACACTAGGTTCATACTAAAATTTTGACGTTTAATTCTTTTCCTCAGTCACTAGTACGAGTCTATCAATCATGAGGGGAAACTCATTCAGATTACTGGACGGTCTCAGGGCACATGCGGACTTTGTCTGTTTTACAAATTCCTCAAAATTCTTTTCTAAAAATGGATGAGGCTATAATTCATTTTTAATGTGCAGAAGAATTGTAAGAAATGCGAAAGTCTCTTAGGTGATATAAAAATTGAAAATGCTCCATAAAAAGGACCCACTTAAATGTCTGACTTGTAAAAGTAAATGTCGTTTTAAAATTTTTCATTTGTCACACTCCATGAGGTCTCTCCTGCTTGCCATGCTCATGCAAGTCCCTCCCGGTGCTCTCTGGAGTGTGGGGACAGCACAGCTAATGGGGCTTCTGCCGGTTTGCTGCTGGATATGGGCAAATCTGCCTCACCAGTGGCCCCCCGTTTCCACTTCTCCAAACTGGCTACTTTAAGAAACTCTTCCGTCTGCTGCATTTTACAGCTACCCAGAGAACGACACAGCCAAGGCCATGCATCCAGGTAGATGCCAAGCAAGTACCAGACTCCTGCTTCCTGAGGACTCCCAATCCAGTGCTCATTCCACAAAACCAGGCTTGCACTGAGATGCCCCAGTACCACCTTCTAGCCATAAAGTCTTAGATCAGAATCTCAAAAAGCCTCCAAGCATTGGATAAGATTTTGGCCCCAGCACCTCTGGGACCTCTGTGGAAATATCCTCCCCCCCACCCCGGAATTCTAGTAAGCCTCAGGCCCCCCAGGACTCCTGAAATAATGCCACGCACATTTTACCAGGGTATCTCTGAGAGCCAGACAGGATGGCTTCTAGCTCAGCCAAGCAAACCAGTTCTCTAGGGATTTCGGGAACCACCAACCCAGGGAGGGAGCAAGCTGTCTGTGGGCACCACGGGCTGGACTGCTGCTCCTAAGTTCAGGTCTCACTCTGAGCTGCCTTCACTTAAGCGTTGCCAAAGTTCTTCAAAGTCTGAGAATGAAAATCTTCATAAAACAAACACAGAAATCTATTACCAGCAGTCAACAAATACTGGCACCTTGACGAATGGCCAACCTGCTGGCCTCCAGAAAATGTGCTGTGCTGACAAGTGGCTCTTTCAAAGGAGCCCTATACTTAAAGGGTGTGTACCCACCACAGAAGAACACGTGGGGAAGTTCAAGGATCAATGAGGCTGCTAATTAAAGCAGAGCATCCATCCCCTGTGTTTAGAATGCATTTAAAGAGCCAGCGCCGTCCGCTCACTCAAGGTCTCTGAATCCACGACAATCAAATGTTTTCAAGTTGAGCTGCAGCCGTCAGGGGACTCAGCCCCCTGCCAGAGCGACTGCTGGGGGTGCAGGGCCGGCTGGGAGCGGGCTGGGGGAGAGGCACCCCAGCTGCTTAGGGCCCTGCCCATCGGTCATCCCGCCAGGCAGGCACACAGTCACTCCCATGGAAGGCATGGGAGGAGAGTTCACCGGTAGCCCAATGCTGGAGAAAACCTGAACTTGCCTGCCCAAAATGCAGGCATGGAATGTAGAGCTACTGCCTAAGCAGATTAGGATGAGAAGGCTCCCTGATAACAAAAATCTTTGGCAACTTGGCCTGAAATTCTGCAGAAGCCCTCGAGGGGATTTTAAGGAAAAAATATTTTTTTAATCCTCATTTTTAATGAAAGCCACATCCCACCCCCCAGTCCACATATCCACAAGACGCCCAAACTAATGTCCTCAGCACGTTTCAATACCTTTTTGTATTTATCCTTTTACTGACATTTTTAGTCTTAAGTCTTTGTTGAAACAAAAATTCATTGCAGAACCTATTGTTTAGGTTAATTTAAAAACAAACCTTTGCACCACCAGCACTTATATGTATATATAGAGTACATTATATGTACTTATATTTATAAAATGTATAAAAATTTATAAAAATATATAATTATATATACAATATAATTTATGCATGATATTATGTTTACTTTTTTAAGATTTTGTTTATTTATTTGACAGAGAGAGAGAGAGCACAAGCAGGGGGAGCGGCAGGCAGAGGGAGAAGCAGTCTCCCTGCTGAGCAGGGTGCCCGACATGAGATTTGACCCTAGGACCCTGGGATCATTATAGTAATTTATATTTATAATATAAATATAATATATTTATATTATATTTGTATAATATAAATTATATTACACATAAACATATAATATAGGGGCGCCTGGGTGGCTCATTTGGTGAAGAATCTGCCTTTGGCCAATATAATTTATGCTATAAATACAAATTTTATTATATATTTCTATATAATATAAAATATGTATGTATAAATTTTATATAATATTTATATACAATTTTTATTATATATATATATATTCCCATGTCTTTCTAGTACAAGGATACTTCTGTTTTCTATCACCTTTGAAGAAATATCAGGAAGCTCAGAGGAATGAGATGTATTCCCTAGTCTTTAATCTTCATATTAGTAGATGGGTTTGAGTAAATTAAGAGTTTACAAAGCATAAACCTACAATCCCCACCTGATCCTGCAGGCAAAAGTGCACTTAGCTCCCAGGCAAGGCCTCCTTCTGTGGGAGAAATGGTGTTTTATACCACGTTGATGACTAATATTTCAAGTACATTTTGCAGACTCATTTTCCCAGCATTCTGTTGTTTCAGCTGAACCATTCGTGCCACAATATTTTTATACGCTCTGAGGCTGAAAAACATTCCCTTCCAGGCAGGATATATGAACCTCTTAGTTTTCTGACGCAAAAGTAGAATTTCAGATTATCCTCGTGCAAAAGAAAACCACTCTGCTCGTGCTGGCAGGTGAATGGGAGAGTGGAGACTCGAACGAGGGTATGAAATATAGGTAGTGCTTCTCTGGTGCCTTCTGTCACAGCATATGCACCACAGCTGCTGTTATGCTCCGCTGAGACTAAGTCAGTGTTTCCCACCTGGGGGCGGGGGGGTTTCTACGAGAGACACAAGTCACAGACAGGAGCCGCGTGCCCCCATTTGGTGGCCCCCCTAATTGTAAGGACCATATTTCGCAGGAAGCATGGTGGATCAGAAGAGCTGGAGGTCTGCAACCAAAGACCCAGGCTTGAATCCCAGTTCTGCTGCCTGTGCGGCCATAGGCAAGCGACATTGGCTCACGCAGCCATGGCCAAGTGTGCAGTCTCAGACTGGTTTCTTACCGTCTCTGTGCCTCGATGCCCTGTCCTAGAGAGTGGGAGTATTCAGAGGTCTTCTTTTACAGGCCAAGAGAGGTAAAGCACTTAGAACAGAGCCAGCACGGAAGACAGCTGTTTCAGATGGTTCAGAAAATGCAAGCTTGAGAAAGCCCTCCAGGAAAAGATGAAGAGGGGGGAAGGAAGAAGCAAAGACCAGAACAAAGAGAGGAAAAAACGGGCAAACGCCGCTGCCCTTGCCTTTGAAAATGCTTGGCCGTACTGGCTTCTGTGGAGTCTGCTCTTAATGCCTCTGCTGCCGAACGGGAGCTGCCGGGCAGGGTGACAGGGGCCCCCAGGAACTGACACCTGCTGTGGCTACACAGTTGTTTCTTCAATCGCTTCACCATACAATGACTTGAGAGCTTCCCAACAGAGAACTTTTTTGTAGACATCGATATGGAGAAAAGGCGGAAAGAGAATTGAGACTGAATGCTAAAAAAAATAATTTTTAAACATTTAAAATTAACCAGTGGCAACAGAAAGAGTGTCCTAATTTCCATTAGCTTCCAGAAAGTTCTCCTGTAAGAACAATCCAGGAACTAGTCCTTACACATAAATGCCGTATTTGTGTGTGACTGGAGGAGCTATCTATGCTCAGAGTCTGAAAGCTTCTCTTAAGTGGCTAAGATCTGTCTCGCTAAGGTTTGAAGGTAAGGGAGAACTGGGGAAAACCCAGAAAAATAACAAACTCACTAAGGCTCTCTGACCTCATCCTTGAGCTGGATACACACCACCTACAGCTGAGTCTGCCAAAGCAGTGGGCTTTCAGGGCAGTGGCCAAAGGCTGCTACAATCTAAAAAGGACCCTGGATCTCCCTGACGTTTGCAACGGTCTGAAAATATGGAGAGAAGGAGAAACGTGGGTACAGAACTCCTCCCATGAAGACTACCACATATAATTGGAGTACATTATTTGACAAACTTACGGCAGGGAATAGTTGATGTCTAATATCCAAGCTGAGAAGGCTGCAGCCTCTTAAAGTAGTCAGATGACTAGGTTTGGGCCAATGGGGTCTAAGCAGAGCCTCCAAATCATGCCCATAAAAAAGAAGAGAAGTGGCCTCTCCCTCCCCCGTCCCTTTTTCTCCTTCCCATTGGATGGAGCGTGGATATGGTAGGAAGCCATCCTGGACCATGAATATGAACATCCTGCCATAGGAATGGCACAGCAACAAGCTAGAGGGAGTCTGAACCCCTAACACTGTGGGGATACCATACCAGCCCTGGACTTCTTATATGCTCAACTTTTATGTGGCAAACTTGCTATTTGCAGTCTCTGTGGCCCTAGCTTCATCTATGTTCTAACTAAAACAGTTTCACTTGGTGTGGGAAGGTGGGGTAAGATCACAGGAGATGTCCATGAGTTATAATAACTGGGCATAAACTGCCTTCAAAGGAGGGAGGGTGCCAATAATGCAGGGTTTTGCTTTGCTTTTCCGAAGGAGAGTGAATTGCCACGAACAATAAGGAGGATGCTGAGCTTGTGCAACATCCTCCTTTTCAGCTCTTCCCACAGGCAGTGCCCAGCCTAGTCTTCATATAAATGTGACTAAATATTTACAAAATATTGATTTGAAGGCAGAGGCCCTCGGTGCACATCTCAGTCTCATCTTGCCTTCCAGGCAAAGTTTTTTCGAGATGTGAGATGTTTGTGAAAGCACTTAGCAGAGTGCTCGCCAAGTATTTGGGGCTCAGTAAATGTTAGTTTCCTTTCTTCTCGACAGCTGCCTCCTTTTTCTCATAACATACATGGGGTTTCTAATAGAGGACCTCAGTCTGTACTCAAAAATGCCTCAGAAGTTTCCTACCTAAAATTGCCTATCCTATGAAAGATATAAATGCAGCCCAAGCCACCTGTGAATTACTGAAAGGCCAAGTAAAAATGTTTGCTCCAATTTACAAAGTATGAATGAGGCTTTCTGAAAATTTTGTTTGAGAACCAGTGGGTGAAAGGTTAACCCCATGCCAGGAGATGAAATTATTAATTAAGGACTCCTAATTTAATTATTTTACATTATTCTCCCAAAGTTTCTCTCCTCCCTGTACTGAAAGGAATGGTCTGGGTCAATGAGCCCGAAAGCCCAAACTGTGGAAAAAAAAGAAAATATGACATAGGAAAGTGTCTCTCACCCATTTTGAAAACCGTCCTGCTGTAGCTTCATTGGTTCATCCCTCCATCTTCTAGTCACGGCTTCCACGATTCATCCACCAGACCTTCATGAACACTTCCTGGGAGCCAGGTCCTGTGCCAAGCTCTGAGGATACAAGACAAGGCCCTTGAAGAGCTACAAGCCACTGGGGGTTCAGACCAGGAGCAGGAACTGAGTACAGCACAGGTGGAATGGCGGACAGCGACTTCCGCCTCCACAGAGACGGGTTCACCATTCTGGCTGGGCCTGGAAGACTTAGAAGGACTTGGTGAAGGACAAAAACATTCTTGGCAGTGACTGATTACAGACCAATTTAGAGCAGCACAGACATTGAAGAGGACTGGTGAGAGAGAGACAAGTTAGATTATTATAACCGAGTGGTCAAGAATAAAGGCCTCGGTTAAGGAGGCGGTAAAAAGGATGCCAAAGACACAGGATGTAATGACCATTAGATGTAAAAATAAAGAGCGAGGAGGTGACTCCACCATTCTTGGTGTACTATGTTAGGTAGATGGGGTCCAAATAAAACAAGACAAGTAACAGAAGATATAAAACAAATTTAGAAGAGAAGACACCGAGTTCAGTTTTGAGATGGTAAGTTTGCAGTTCTGCAGGTCACATCCAGAAGGAGATGGCAGGGAAGCTGTTAGAAGGAAGAGTTCAGGCTGCAGGTTTGGATTGGGAGGTCTCCCTCACAGTCCGGCTGGCTGAGACAACGGGAGGAGATGAGAGATACAAGGAGAAGTTATGCAGAAATAAGAGGTAAGGACCAGAGACAGAACCATCAATATTCTAACATCGAACCAATGGAAAAGGAATGAAGAAAAGACTCAGGAAGAGAACACAAAAATGGGGAATCCAAAAAGTAGAGAGTAATCAGTGGTCTCACGAACTGCAAAGAGGTCCCTGAGAAGAAGAACTGAAAACGGGCCAGTAGACTTGGCCACTAGGAAGACCCTGGTGACCTGTGAGAGCAGGTCTAGAGGAGCCATGAGAGGCGAACCCTGACTACAGGGGGAGGAGGAAGGAGTGGGCATGAAGCCAATTTGGCAAGACTGAATTACTCCTTCAAGAAATGTGGTGGTAACTTGAAGGAGGGAAATTGAGTAACAGCATGATATAAGGTTGTGTCAAAAGAAAATAAAATGAAAGAGGAAGATTTAAACAAGTCAGCAGGTGGACCAGAGCAGAATGAGGGGACGATGATGCGAGCAGAAAGGAACTGAGGGAAGGAGATCTGGAGCAGGCAAGAATGGAGGGGGTGTCAGGCCCTCATCTGACTTCTGTCTTTTAGCAGACATGAGCCTTGTGTTCCACAGCTCTTCTTTAGGCAGACTGCTATTTGTAACAATAATAACAAAAAACTAACGTAGGTTGGATCCTAGGTGCCCAGCATACCGGATTGCAAGGTACCACCTCATGAAATCTAGAAAGTCTAGTTGCCTTCTAACTCTAGGAGATTATGACTCTGACTTGAGAAGCCAACACCATTTCCCACCTATACCTATACCCATCTCTCCTTAGCATCATTTGTCACCTTGCCCCTCAGCTCACCCTCTACTCTTCACTCTGGTCTAGTAGGTCAAACACAGGCTCTGAGTTTAAATCCAGATTTCGCCACTTACTCCTTGTGTGATTATAGGCAAGTTATATAATCTCACCGTCCCTCAGATTCCTGATATGTAAAACAGAGATGTTGGCATGCCTCAAAGCTCGACCTTAGTTTTCATGGCAATTCACTAATAACTATAAAAACACCTTTATTTCCTAAACTCCTACAGGAGGAACAACCATGTTTTTGTGATTCAGGAATTCCTTACTTCTCCTATTGAAACGATTGTTTCTATACCATAAATTTTTGCAAAAGCAAAAAAATAGTCGGCTCCCTCTCTCGATACGTGACTCTGGCCCATTTTTAGAAAAAGCTCAACAATTGTTGTGGTAGACTTAATAGGGGTTCGCTGTATATTCAGATCCTAAACCCTAGAACTTGGGAATATTATTTTATATGGCAAAAAGAGACTTTGGAGATGCCATTAAATTAAGGAGCTCAAGATAGTGATACTAGCCTGGATTATCCAGGTGGGCCCAAAACATAATCACAAGTGTTCTCATAAGAAGAAGGCAGTAGAGATCTGGTCACAGAAGACAGAAAGGCTGTGTAACAGAAGCAGAGGGAAGCTGAGTCGAGAAAAAAGATGCTAGCCAGTGTCTTGGAAGAAGGAGGAAGGGGCCATGAGCCAAGGAATGCAACTCCAAGGGCTGGAAAAGGCAAGGAAACAGATTCTCCCAGAGAGCATGGCCCTGCTGCCATCCTGACTTTAACGCAATAAAACTAATTTTGGACTTCTGACCTCCAGAACTGTAAGAAAATAAATTTGTATTGTTTTAAGTCACCAAGTTTGTGGTCATTTGCTACAGCAACAACAGGAAACTCATACAACTGTTTTCTTCTTGCCGATACTTAGAAGGCAAGTTATCAAGCCCTCTGCTTTCAAAAGTAGAAGGCATGTCAAGTTACTGATCCTCTTTTATTTCTAGACCATGAAAATGGATCCTCTGAGAGAACCTACCAATAGTTTACCCCAATCAGAGAAGCCTCTCAGTCTCTGTGGTGGAGGACTGTCCATCCTCCTCTAAACAAGAACCGAAGAGGAGATTCATATGTGGTAGGGAGAACGGTTTTATGTTCTGATCAGGCGAAATTAAAATAATCAGTTCAAATTTTACCTACAATATAAAGGGAATCAGACTAAATTAAGATTCCACTTTTTATTTACCCAAGAAGCAGGGAAATTCAAGTTTATTTTTAAGTACTAATAAAACCTGCAGTGTAAGGAAGTAGTTTCCAAACACAACCCATAAAATAAGGATGTATTTAAAATGCTGTTATTAGATACATGCCATCCCCACAAACTTCCCCTCATGCATCCTGGCAGCCAATCACACTCTGAAGCAAAAGAAAGAGATGGCTTTATGAATAGTTTTTTTCTTGTGACATTTTGGTGAACAATAAGATCAGGACACCAATAAAAACCTGCTCCGTGAAAGAAAAAAAAAAAAGCATTTAATTTTTATCAGGTGGGCCTAAGAAAACTCATGAAAAATGTACTTCTTCCAGGAGGGTCTCTGGGTGCCTTAAAGATAGGGTCAGAACACAAAAGCCTGGAGATCTCTGTTTTTTACAGTTTACCTTCTTCTTGAGCGGTAAGGAAATGGCATTTTGTGGGTTGTCCTAAGGTGTGGTTCATGTGCCTGGATAAATGCCTATCTCTGTTTGTTCCTGATCTCACTTGGAAGAAAGATAAAACTTGGTTTTCCTGTATCGTCATTCAGCATCCTAGAGACTTTTAATGAAATTTCATTTTAAACATTACTCACATAATTCTCTCTAGCTGGAAATTTACCATGCAAATTTACCAAGGATATTTGACTCATAAGGAACATCTAGGTCTTATTCTCAATTTGATATATCAAACAAATTGAGCCCCTACTGTGTGCAAAAAAAATAAGCTAGATGTTGAAATTGGGAGTGAAGCACAACAGTGAATAAGTCGCCTGTCCTGAGTGAGCTTAAAGCAACCTTTTCTATTTTTTTTTTAAAGATTTTATTTATCTATTTGACAGAGAGAATGAGAGAGAGAGAGAGTATGAGAGGGGCGAGGGTCAGTGGGAGAAGCAGACTCCCCGCTGAGCAGGGAGCCTGATGTGGGACTCAATCCTGGGACTCCAGGATCATGACCTGAGCCAAAGGCAGTCGCTTAACCAACTGAGCCACCCAGGTGCCCCAACCTTTTCTATTTTTTAAAAAAGATTTTATCCATTTACTTGAGAGAGAGCACACGAACAGTGGGGGAGGGGCAGAGGCAGAGGAAGGAAAGAGACTCCCTGCTGAGCCCGACTTGGGGCTCAACCCCAGGACCCCAAGATCACAACCTGAGCTGAAGGCAGACACAACCTTTTCTAAAATAAAGATAGAAGGAAGTGAGTAGTCAAGAATATTCGATTCAAACTTCAGTTTTCCATTGGTGCTTTATGGGTTGTACTGTGTGTCTGTTGTGTCACTTTGTTAGTCTCTACTCCCCATCCTTCTAGTAAGAGCTGTGATACCAATTTAGGAGATTCCATTTTTCCGGCTCTTCATACATCTGAAACTCCCAGGTATTCCATATTTCAATTGTTCCAGACCTACTCCACTCCATTACCATAAAGAATTGAGGGCTAGCTTATATTTTTGAAGTGTGTTGAAAAGGGGTTTTTAATTCTTTGAGATCACAGTTCAAGTTATATATATCAAAAATAGAAATCAAATATATACATGCTGGCCTCGAATGTAGTAAGAATTACCCTAGAACAAGTGTTTTTTTTAAAAAAATACAAATAAAAATTATGAAGTAAACATCCTTTTCCTGGGGGCACCAATAACCAGACGAATCAAATTCTAGTAGCATTAGTCTGGCCCGGTGGTTAAGAGCCACATTCTCAATTCCAAAATCCAGCAACAATCCCATTGAGAGTCTTCATGAAAAGCTAGGCTATCCTTTCTGGACACTGACACACAGAAATACAGCTGGCTTTTCTTCTGTTTGCTTTAACTGGATTCCAGGTTTTCTTCAGTATTTCTTTCTCCTGGTAGGTCTGCATCAACTCTGCTTCAGTTTTTAGCATTCTTGTGTAACTTGTTCTCCTTTTTTTCCTTATGTGCATCTCCCTAGCCTCACTAGAAGGCAGCCCTCTTTCTCCTTTCTCATTTGGCTTGTCCCTTTTGACTCACAGGTAGTCTGGGACAAAGCCAGGTCTGGATACTAGCTCTGGGCCTCCAGTGCACCTGCTTGTCTGATAACCAAATAGATCTGCCTTTAAAAAAGATTGCCAGTTCAGATGTCATCTTTCTTGGTTCTTTAAATTTAAATTTTATATTTTAATTAATTTACAGATAATATTGCTAAATTATCAGGCTTCTATGGTGGTAAAAGAGCCAAGGTTAAGGTTTCTATTTTATTTTATTTCTCACCAATTGCTCCCAGCAAAAGAAGAGAAATATGTCAAGATTTTAAGACCTTATGAATTACTGTGTGAACAATGTTTTGTACTATAAGAAAAAGAAAACTTTGTGAAAACATTTTTAAAATACCAAATGAAATTAAACTTAACAAAGAGAGGAAATAAAGCAAGGGTTAGTAAGTTTAGTCACCTATTATTCCTAAGGTTTTACATACTGATACACATTTTTGGAGTGGCATGACCAGGTATTATAAATCTAAATACATATAAAACAACCTTTGGTTAAGTTTAGTCCTAGGTATTTTATTTTTTGGTGCAACTGTAAATGGAATTGTTTCCTTAATTTCTCCTTCTGCTACTTCATTATTAGTACATAGGCACGCTACCATGTCTGGGTATTAATTTTGTATCCTGCAACTGTACTGAATTAATTTATTGCTTCTAATAGTTTTTTGATGGAGTCTTTAGGATTTTCTATGTATGTTATCATGTCATCTGCAAATAGCGACAGTTTATGGTAGCTACACTGGGGGTGAGCAGAGTATAATATAAACTTGTCGAATTTCTATGTTGTACACCTGAAACTAATATAACATTGCATGTCCTCTATACATACATACATACATACATAAAACAACCCTTGGGAAAATTGTGTTAAAGAGAAGCATTAAAGTGAAATTAGATTTAGTAAATTTTGTGACAAAGAAAAATATATATTTACTGGTCATTTTTTATACTCTTTTCAATAATTGAAGTTATATATAAATATTCTTTTTGGTAATAATTGAGAAGTTATAGGGGCTACTGGGTGGCTCAGTCAGTTAAGCGTCTGCCTTCAGCTCAGGTCATGATCCCAGGGTCCTGGGATCAAGTCCCGCATCGGGCTCCGTGCTTGATGCATGGCTTCTGCTCCTCCCTCTCCCTCTGCCGCTCCTACTCGTGCTCTCTCTGTCTCTCTGTCTCTCTCTGTCTCTCAAATAAATAAAATCTTTAAAAAAATAAAATAAATGAAATTATATATAAATATTATTTTTGGTAATAATTGAGGCAGGAGACCCCCAACATTGCTTTCATTTGACCAAATGAGAAGTCTAATTTGGATCTCTGTTCTAAGAAATAGGTATTATTTTTATTTGCCTATGGTCTCTGTAACTCCCTCTTTGTATATCCGGTCTTCTGAACAATTTTATTCATCTCTAGAAAGAAAGTTGAGGAATGCTCAAGAGCTAAAAGAGAACACAAATTTGAGTGGGACATTAACCATGTACAGCATAGAAGGGGGTAGAGTACCAAGCCATGTGATGTTGTGTGTGGATTAGTACACCGCTTAATAAGCTTGATCATCTTTTAAAATCGTTTTGTCGGGGGCTCCACTAACTAGCACGAAAGGAGCTCTAGAAAATCTTTCGTATACAGGAGGCGTATGACTCAGTTTTAGAGCCTCCTAAATCACAGATATTAACACTGCAAAATAATAGAATTTAGGAAGCTAATGAGGCATCCTGGGATCGTGGCCTTCTGACAAATACCCAAAACATACTGGATCCAGAGAGATAAACAAGTGAGGTTGTAATTCTCACCCCACCCAGTGTATCCCACTCTACCTGAGTCAACAAAAAACGGAGAGATAACACGGATAGCACAGGGTAGGATATCTGTGTGCGTCGCTGCAGAATGCATTTCTTTCCTTTTCCTGTTGATGTTGTCAGTTATGAAATGCTGAGTTGGAATGTTCTTATGTTGAAGACCTGTTCAGCGTTTTCTCTTTTTCCTCACATTTCTGTTAGCCTTTTCCTTTAATTATCTCGCTGTTGTTATTCTTGGCAAGGCTGCCCTTTCCATAATGGTGTGTTTACCTTCCAAACAGTCCCTACTTCCTCCTTATCTTTGTGAGCGTATTAAAACTTCCAGCTCCAACGGCTCACTTCCCCTCTTCGGCATATCCTCACCTTCACAGCTCACTTCTCTTTCATTCTTTTCAACCCTTCTTTCAACTCCCACCCCAGCCCTCTCATCCCTTTGGAATAACAAGTTATTTCCTCTTTCATTTCCTCTTGCAGAAGATGTTTTTGGACCCATTCCCGAATGTCTTTGGCATGAAACCCATGCCGCTCTGTGTTTCCACTGGGCACATTTCCAGAGGTGTTTCATCGGCCTGGAGCCCTTGGCCTTCACACCAAGTTAGGCCCAGCTCTGTCAATCATGTCTGTCACCATCGGGCAGTCCTGGCCAGCCACCACGGTGGTTAACAGGACTGGCGGGTCTTGCTCCCACTGGCAACAGGCTCTTGTTTCCGCATCCTTTTCAAAAAGTCTGTTTGAGGTAGGAGAATCTGGACTTCTTTTCTTGCAGCAAGTGAAAAGGCAAAGAGGTGGAGGGAGGGAGTGCTAAGTCAGCAATACTGGCAGAGCTGAGACATGCTTCGGAGTCTATGCAGTCAGTCTATTATCCACCTGCTTTTCAGTCTTTACAGGTCAATGCAGAGGTAAGCTTGACAGCAGCATCCAAGCTGGAGGAAAAACCTGTGAAACAAGAACTCTACCTAAAATTAAATGTTTTCCATTTTAAGGTGAAAAAAGTTGAGCGGAGGAGAGTCATACTAATTTGTCCCTTAATGGGGAATGGAGTGTTATTCCAAGTAATGAGGCTATTAAACAGCCTAGAAACTTTACTATTCATTTCTTGAGAGTGTATTGAAGTGAACAGTTTCGTAGCACATTTTGATGCTTGTTCTGAATACTTAGGTACCACTAATACGATAATTTAAGAGCTAGAGGACACTGTCTTGAGAAGGTTTTTCTCAGGCCCTGAGACAAAAGACAAGAAGCTGTGATGGTGTCCTGGGTCCTGTAACCCTAAGCAGTCTCCTCGACATTTGATACCTTGTGCTCTGGCAATCAAGTGAGTAAACACGTGTGAGAACACACTTTCGAACTAATGGCATTGGAATCTGGTACCCATAAACAGACGCACTGAAAGTGAGAAAATAAGTAATTCCCCTTGGTTCGAAGCATTCTAGATTCAAAATCCAAACCTGGTCTTTTTTATGAAGCTTGATTGGTTTGGTTTGTTTTGGTTTGGTGCAAAGGGCAAAGGACAGAGACAGAATAGAAGAGTTTGTGAATTTTAATCTAACTTTTAAATGCTGTTTAGTAGGGCGCCTGGGTGGCTCAGATGGTTAAGCGTCTGCCTTCGGCTCAGGTCATGATCCCAGGATCCTGGGATCGAGTCCCACATCGGGCTCCGGGCTCAGCAGGGAGCCTGCTTCTCCCTCTGACCCTCTCCCCTCTCATGCTGTTTCTCTCTTGCTTGCTCTCTAAAAAATAAATAAAATCTTTTAAAAAAAAATGCTGTTTAGTAAATAAGGCCATCAACTGGGCCAAGGTATAAAGATTTTCTAAGTCACTCAAGTACAATGTTGTCGGTACAATTAAAAATGCAAAGTAAAAGAGACTTCCAATTCAAAACGGTATTTGCCAAGCTGTTCTATTACAGCATCTCCCTTCAATCTTAGGAATGTACTGATGAGGGCTCAGAAAAGATCACATTGCTTGTAAGGCCTGTGCTCAGGACACAAATAAATCTGCAGGAGAGGAAGGGGGAAGGGGGGATGTTTGTAGATCGGGGGCACTAGTAAGCACTTATTTCAAGGATGACTCAGTGTCCATTAAAATCCACCTCACAGCCCTGGAGCTGAAGAGGAGACCAGATCCCACACTTGGGACTGGAGAGCAAAGCCCAGAACAATCCACTTGCCCTCTCCACTAACAATGTCCAGTCTGCAGTGTTCACTCCTTGTGTGAGGATGAACAAAAAGGGGGGGGAAAAATACTGCTGAACAAAGGAAAAAGAGCAGCTTCCACAAGACCCAAAGAAAGAGCAAGCTGGGTTTGAGTTTATCACTCGCTGGCTGCCTGAACTTGAACAAGGTACTTAAAACTCTCTAATCTTTAGTTTTTATGAGAATTAAATAATGTATAAAAAGCAAAAAATGTTGCATCTAAGATATAGTAAGTACTCAATAAATGCTGATTAGTATAATGATTATGATGACCAGATATTAAGATGCACTATCAAGTTATCATTCACTCATTCAGCAGATATTACTGAATGCCTATTCTGTTCTGACACTGAAGCCATACCATGTTTCCTTTCTTATTATCATGCTACTTGCATTCTAGCATAATTAATGATTAAAATAGTTCTGCTCCAAGAATGATAAGCTAAGTGGAAAGCAATATGGTAATATTATCAATTAAGTATGGGAGAAAGGGTCATGGGAATCTCAAAATCAGAGTCAAAAATCAGAGTTTAACTACACAAACTGTATTACAAACTGGATTTAATATAAGCCTATGTAATTCAACTTTTACAGCCAATATTTAAGAACAAAATTACTATTGTATCTGCAAACATAAGTGCAACAGTCTCTGAACATAGACCCCACATCAATTGTTTAATGTGGAATTTGGGACATTGAAGGAAATTAATTCCTTAAGATTTGCTATTAAAAAAGTAGACCATCAATACAACAATATCAGTTCTAACTTACTAGCAATCCTGATGTTCTGTAAGTCACTATATCAGACATTATCTAATTTTACCTTGAGTGTCTTTGCCATTTCATTTAATGTTATCACATTAGTCCTTTTATAATAATTCAGCTAAAATTGATCTATATGGATTTTCTTAGAGAAAATCACAATATGAACATAATTTTAAGCTGACTTTTAGAATATGGCTTAAATTCATTGATCTCTTTTGTCCGTGTTGGGGCTGAAGAAGTAAGTTATCATACATTTCCCTCAAAGTAAACCCATTCTTCAAGTTGCTTAAAATGTTATATGTTACCATTTCTGTTCCTTGCTAATTTAACAGATCTAGTTGAATTTTGTTCCAAAAAAAATCCTTGAAGATGTTTATTTTGTTCTATGTATACGGACTCCTCAAGCAGATCGCCGTCCTAATAAAGTATGCTCGAATCTTGCAATCAAACTGTTCTTAAGGTAAGCCTGCTAAAACAATCTCAAGTTGTCATTCAGACTACTTCATTTGATAGGAAAAATTGGGGATTTTACCTAATTGTGAACATTGAACTTACATGATTTTGTGTGTCCCCTGAGAAGTTCTGACTACATAGGTATTCAATGAAACATAGCAGAGTATATAACAATTTTTAAGCCGTACGTTGCATCAGATACTAAAATAGAATCATCTTTCGTTTCTAAGATGATCTGTCTATCCTTATTTAGAGAAGCTAAAAAAGAAAAATAACTTTTTGCCCCATACTAAGTACCTTTAAAGTCATGAAATGCAAAGCCCCCTTGGACCATCTCCTATCTTTCTAGCTCTCTCTCTCTCTCTGCCAGTAAAGACTTTTAAAAAATGGAAAGGAATATCTTTATGTTCTTCCTAACTGTTCCCCACTGCCTCCTTCTTTTTGATGGGTAGGTTGGTGCTACCGTCAGCAGTCCAATTCTCTATCAGCACATTTTAAACTGCACTAAAAAAAAAAAGAAGAAGAAGAAGAAAAAGGAGAGAGTAGGTATATCAGAATCCAGAGAGCTGACCACACTGGCTTCAACTTTGCTAATTGAAACATGACTCCCTGGAGCCACCGGTCCACAACTTTTATCTCCATAATTGTGTCCGTAGAGTTTGAAGAAAGAAAAATAGCTGGAGAAGAAATACCAAATACTCAGATACAAGTAGCTGACCACAAAAGGTTTCTACAATGTTACCAGCCAGCATCTTACTCATGTATGGAGTAGTGGGCAAAAATAGTCTTTGGGAGGTGCCTGGGTGGCTCAGTTGCTTAAGGGTCCAGTGCTTGATTTCAGCTCAGGTCATGATCTCATGGATTGTGGGATCGAGCCCCACATCGGGTTCCAAGCTCAGCGAGGAGTCTGCTTGAAATTCTCTCTCTCCCCCTCTGCCCCTCCCCACCCCCACCTCTCTAAAATAAACAAATGAAATATTTTTTAAAAAGTAGTCTTTGGAAGCAAACAGTCCTGCGTTATAATCATGGCTCTGTACCTGGACAAGTTGCTTAGCTTCTCTGAGCCTGTCTCCTTATCCACAGAAAACAGATCATAATAACTCGCTATTTCTGTTGTTATATAAATGAAACTAAAATAAAATATGTGAAGTATTTAGAATGGTAACTGACCCCATAATAAGTACTCAGTAAGTATTAGCTTTTAGTATCAGTCCCATCATCATTATTTCTTTTAATAGTCTCTCTTGTGCATTCCTTGTTTCCCTCTATCATGTCAATCATTTCAATGAACATGTTTAAGTACATACCATGTGCCAGAGAAGCACTGTAGAGGGATTTGTGATACAAAGAATAACTGAAATGTGGAGATTCTGTACACAGGAGCTCACAATCCAGAAGATGGGACAGAGATGTAAACACATTAGCAGCCTACCTGCTAGTGAACTCATGACACTTTTCTGCCCTTATTTCTGTGTATGTCTGCATTTGCTAACAAAATACATACCCCTCATTGTCTGTTCTGAGCACTAAAGCAGTGCTTACCATTGTGAAATTCGCATTCTAGTATGAGAAGAAAAACAATAAACTAAACAAGTAAATAATATAAAATATGAGATGATAGTGCTATGGAATAATATGAAGGAGAGAAGGGGAGTAAGGGGTGTCAGATAAGGAGAGGTGTTCAGT